CAAAAACACCTGAGTAACCCAAGGTTAAGAACCACTGGACTAGATTGTGGTTCCCAACTTTGAGTAACCCAGGTGTTCTTCAACTGCAGTTCCCAGAAATGTGAGTCAGCACAGCTGGTAGTGAAGGATTCTGGGATATGCAGTTCAAAAACACCTGAGTTGCCCAAAGTTGGGAGCCACTGGACTAGTCAGTTATACTTTTAGGTGAATTTGTAGCTCGTTGATGGATCCTACCCAAAGAATGCACATCAGTAGTTTCTCATCATCTTGGAGAGAAGTAATAAGTAAATTTCCATATGGTTCTGACCTGGGTCCAGTGTTGTTTAGCAACTATACAGATAACTTGGAAAAAGTAAAGAGGATGCGTTGCAAATTTGCAGTGATGCCAGACTGGAAAAAGGAGCTAATACCCCCACCCCCTTACAAGAACAAAGCTGAGATTCAGGGGAACCTTAACAAACTGGAGAACTGGATCAAAGCAAACAAATGAACCAACAAATTTCAGCAGGGCTAAATCTGAACATCTACTTAATGGCAGGAAACTCAGGTGCATAAAAATAGAATGGGTGACACCTGGCTCAGTAGTAATATGTCTGAGAAATATCTAAGGGTCTTAGTACACTAAAGACATGACTTCATTTATTGAAGATTGTTAATGATAGGTCCTTTTGGAAGTCACTGATTCAGCGTAAGTTGGAAGTAACGTTGTTGGCAGGTAACAATGTCAAGCTGTCACCATCTTATATTTGGACATCTGATGATTCCTGCGTAAGTGAAGAACTTCACATTCTTCTTTGTTGAACCTTCACTAGTTTGTTTGGCTATTTCTTCGAGCTGTTAAGGACATCTCAAATCCTGATTCTGTCTTCTGGCATCTTCAGATTTGGTGAACATCACCAAATATCACCCTTATCCAAGTCACATTTATACAGATGTTGACCAACAGCAGGGCCAGAACAACAGTTTGAATTGTGGTGCTGGAGGAGACTCTTGAAAGTACCCTGAACTGCAAGGAGAAAAAAACCTATCCCTTCTATAGGAAATCAACACTGAGTGCTCACTGGAAGGACAGATCCTGAAGCGGAGGCTCTAATACTTTGGCCATCTCACGAGAAGAGAAGACTCCCTGCAAAAGACTCTGATGTTGGGAAAGTGTGAAGGCAAGAAGAGAAGGGCACGACAGAGGACGAGATGGTTGGACAGTGTCATTGAAGCTACCAACATGAATTTGACTGAACTCTGGGAGGCAATGGAAGAGAGGAGGGCCTGGCGTGCTCTGGTCCACGGGGTCACAAAGAGTCGGACACGACTTAACAACTAAACAACAACAACTTTGTGTGGCAATTCACCAGAGATTTATTCCAATAATAAAGCTAATAGTATTTTGGATATTATGGTGTTATTCAAATGCACCATAATCCTTTATTTACATATAGTACTTCCTGAGGCCACAATCTAATACACTGAAGAAGTGAAGAGTCAGGTATCTACATAGATATACTCTATTAGAGAACTGCATTTTGGTACACGGTGGCTAAGGCCAGCATCTTTCTCAGTGCTGAACTGTGAATCATGTATGCAGTATCCTACAGCATTTTTTATTCTTTCATCAGCTAAAACTTACTGGCCACCCAAAAAGAATATAAGGATTGACTTCTCAGTTAGAAGCAATTTGCTGCTGCCATTAACACCATTTTACTTATGGCAGCATATTGTGATGACCATAATGATGGTCATAATCTGTTTGGTTTGCCAATAAACTATATCAAGCCACTAATACACCAGGCTCAGTACTTGAAAGAAAATGAAGAAAGTACCTTTACAGTCTAAGTGCAAGTAATATTTATATGTCCTTTTCATTATAGCTACATAACTTATTTGGGTGGTTTACAATGCAAAACATTTCACTGTATCCTTCCAAAGCCACAAAAAGATTCTAAAATATATGGACCAAATAACACATATCAGATGGGAAAATACGATTTGTACAAGCCTGAAAGCCCGATTTATAAGCTAGAATTTGCCTGTGGTTTGCAGAAGGAAACACAAACCATGTGGTTTGCCAGCATGGATATAACAGCAAATGTTAATTCCAACTAGAAATTTAAACTAATTGTCCAACTCTTGTATAGGGAGAAGTGCAAGCCTCACTCCTGTAACACCAATTTCATCTGATGAGGTAAGAGGCACCTTCGCATATATCAAACTACATGGGAAAGTATGCATGTCATAATGCATATGCATTTTCTTACACAGAGATTTCCAGAGGGGTAGCCATATTAATCGGTAGGCTGGTGTAGAAAAAGCAGTAGAATCTTGCAGCATTATTAACAAGTTTAATTTAACACAATTCCTTCTATACACTAGCTCACTTCTTCATATGCATCTGAAGTGGCTCTCAGTACACCAAAGTTTATGCCAAATAAAAGCTGTTATTTTTTTAAGGTAGCCCATCACAGAGATTACTATGTACAGTGACCCTGGAAGCCATTTTGGGCTAAAAAACTGAATTTATATCTTCCACATCAGCATCCAGTACTATTACAAACCACTCACACTGCAAATTCCACTGAATCTAGTTTTCTACATTTACCTAGTTAACAATGACTCACAAACTTTCCATTGTGAGATCCAACAGTACACAAAAATGAGCAAATATAGTTTATTCTGAAGTAGATAAATTCTTTGCTAACATGTGGGAAGTACATTTTTTAGAACTACAAACTGTTCTGTTATTTCCCTTAATATTTGTTTATCTAGCAGATTTTAAAATGTGTATATCATAATTTTAAACAGAAGTAATAATATGTGATGGATAGAGAAATAATTTTAAATGCTTAGAATGTAATGTGTAAAAATATTTCTTTTCTTGAATTTTCTTTGCAGATACTTTATTTAGAGTTTCTATATACAGTAGCACACACAATATGTTTAAAAACTAGTTGCAAAGAAATATGGTTATAGAACAAAACACTTTACCTCTGCATTGATTCTACTTATTTATGGAAACACATAGTAACAACTGGTAATGTCATTAATATTACTGCTTTTATAAATTAACAAGAAACATTCATTCATTTTTCCTGAAACATTTTTTGGGGGAGCTTTTGAGAGGATTTTCAGTTATTTTAATATTGCTAATCTTATTATTTAGGAAGTAACTAAAATTCATACTGTCAATGAGTAATAAAATGAACTATTTTTTCAGTAACAAGTAGCACTTAAGTTACTTTTCAAAAGTAATGAGTAATAAGTTTTTTTTATATTCAAAGCTCTGCTTTGTAGTCATCCTTATATGCTCCTGAATATTATTTGAATATCAGGACGAAAAGATTGCTCTGCTGTGATTAATGAGAGAATAACTGGATAATGAAGAATGTTGTATCATAATCCAGATGTGGTAATTACAAATGCTCTCTAAGACCTATGAAAACTGAGGCAAAGCAGGGCTTGAGTGTGAACCTAAACAAAAAGATTAAAACTGTAATTCATCCTACAACAAGGGCGAGAATTAACAAAAATAATCTGCAAACTAATTCCTTTTTTTTACTCTGCCTCCGTTCCCTGACAGGTGCCCTGGGACAGAAATATGTCATTCAGTTCTTTGATAACAGGGGACATGGTGGCGCTGCGGGTTAAACCACATGTTGCTTACATGCAAAACCTGTAGCATGCATACCACAGGGCAAGTTCTCTACACAAAACCAATGAGGATGAGAAAAGTCAAAGACTAGTCTCCTGCCAACATGCTGGGAGCCGGGTAAAAATTCACTAACCTGACCGTGTCACTCTGTTAGCAGACACTGAAGTCCAGACAATGTGTAAAGGTGTAATTCAACACCATTTCCAGTTGGACAACAGGCTGCATCAACAGAGGCCATAAGAGTAAATGCACTGGACTGAAACTTGAACAGGAAAATCATCAGAACTCTAACAGCACCCTATATTCTTCCCTAGTGTGACAGTGGACTCAGGCCATTAAATAAACTCTTTTTCTGAGGTGACAGAAGGGACTGGTAAGTTCCACTTTATATGGGTCTACTAGCTTGCTGGTTCTCTGTTCCCAGCCACCTTTGATCCTTCCTCTCCCTGAAGTCTTCTAGCATGGAAAGAGACCTCAGGGGAGGGAGAAAATGTTTCCTCATTTTGTGCCAAGAGCACATTCTCTATAACCAAGACTACCATTTTCAGTTCAGATTACAGAGTAATATAAGAGAAGCATATTAGAAACACAATGCTTAGCCAGTCTTGCCTGAATCCTTCTGCAGAATTTAATGAAGCATTCTGCTCTCTATTCAGATCATATGATTTGAAGGGGAGAACATAAATTTGAAGCAATAACAAAAGGAAATACATGATTATAGAAGCAGAAGTTGTTGGGGTTTTCTTTAGGAGTTTGCAAAAGGCTCACAATTCACAAGAATATGCATAAGCATTACAAGCCCAGAGCTGTGGTAAAGGAGTTGGCAGGAAGCATTCTGTTGTTAAAAGGCTAACTTAAAGGCAGAATTTAACACACATGACCTCTTCTAACCATGTTCCTCAATGCTGGAGAAATATACCTGTTCAATTTATGGTGATGACATAGTAATTAGAGGCACAGGAGCGACTTACTTGCCTTCTGCTTTCACAAGTTAGCATACTAATGCTTTAAGCTACTACAATTAAAAGGGAGCCTGAAAGTTATACAGTATGCCGAGGTGATTGAAAATCAAAAGGGAAAAATTATAGTACATTCATTTCCACTGGTGCTCTCTGTCTCTCTCACAATCCTCTCTCAGGCAGAATAGCATCATTTTATTTGTGCATGCATTCATTTATTCAATTTATCTATTTCCCATTTAGCAAATAGCTACTCTGGCAGTGTACAGCAAAATAAACATACATAATAGAATAATATAGACATGTTGTTATCTGTACACATAAACAATCCCAAGACAGATGGGGAAACAATTTCAGAAACGTGGTGCTGCAGAATGACACTATGCCAGTATTAAAAGCAGAGCATATATCCCCATAATATCTCCCCAATTTACTGGGGATCATGGAAACTTGACAACAGGAAATGGTACAGAGAGACACAAATCTTGAGTTCACCAGGAGCTCTATGAAGTCTGCATGAATCTTTGTAAACTTTGAGGTCCTTTGTTTTAGTCACTGACTGACAGCACACTACCTTGCAAAGCTCTCTGTTTCTTCTTTTGTTTTCTCCACTAAGCCTCTAACCTATATTTGCAAATTATATTTGCGTGTGTGGGTTCTGTCCAACCATTTTTCTCTTTTCACATCCTTGCCGGAAGAACCAAGAAACTTAACATAGAACTTATTTTCCATTTACAACAGGGTAAATGAGAGCAATCGCTTCTACCTCTTGCTTCTCTTTGCCTCAGTTCCTCCAGTAAGTAATGACTGGAGGAACTGAACTTGAGACATGATGCCCTGGAACACATGTCTGCTCAAGCCAATTCCTTCTCTCATGAAGACAAAACCCTCCCATTCCCTCCATCTGTGGCTACAGCAGGTGCAGTGGCTTGATCTGAAGTCTGGGAAATCGCATGTATGTGAAGAGGTGAAGGATTAACGTACACTGCTAGTTGTAATCCTAACCCCTGGGTACTTTTAAGGATAAAAAACCAGAAAAATATCTTATGGCTAGTTTAATCTTCAGAGAAACATGAAAGGAGATTGCTCCTAGTCTGACTACACACAACATGGACTACACAGTCAAGTTGAAAGTCATTTGGGTCATGGCAACATTATGCTTTTAAAAACATTTTTTAAAATTTGTCCTGAAAAAATAATATCATAGCAAACAAGTTCTTACCTTCTTTCCAGTTCACCAGTTTGATTTCACAGCAAACTAATGGTGCTCCCACTCTGCCTGTTGTGTAATCCCAAACTGAAATTAGGGAAAGAAGGGTTTATTGATGACCCAGAAATACAGCTTCAAAACCATTTATAATTACATTTCTTGGAATAATTACTTCCATGCAACATTAATGAGATTTTGGAGCAAAGTATTCAGTATATAGATAACTCTCAAATTATACCTTTGCATCCTTATAGTCCACACCTATAAACACCACTAACCTTCCGTTATTGTTCCAGCCCCAGAGGATTCTGTAAGGCCATAGCCCTGTCCCACAGGGCAACAAAAACAGATGTTCATAAATCTCTGGGTGGCTGCAGAAAGTGGAGCTCCTCCACACAACAAGACCCGAATCTTCCCACCTAGCAGCATCCGGACTTTTCGGAAAATGAGACTAGAAAGGTAAAGAAAAGTTTTTATTAGCTAAAGACAATATGGAAAACATCTGGAACAGCATGGGCTTTCAAGTAGAAGGTCCACAGCTATATTTTCCTTTTCCAAATAAGTTGTGTGTACCTAGTTAACTTTTACTCAGATGCACATTTCACTGATTTCAAAGGGACTTACTCCCTGGTGAGAGTGTGAAGACTGATAAATGCATTGTGTACCTGGCTTTCTCTATTGAATATTTTACCTGGCAGTGACTTCTAAACACTACTCTCGATCAATTCTGGAATGAAGGAGTCCACTGCATCCACAGCCAAAGACTAATGGGTATTCTCCCCAACCTTGTTCTTCGGTGGCCAGCTCAAAATTCTCATTTCCCCAGCAGATCTAGCCATGTGGTCCACATCTCAGCAAGTCATATATCACAGGGAAATGTCCAGCCTTTGGGAAGAAGACTCATTTAGCTTACCTGTCACATAGTGGGGTGGTATAGCCTTTGGAAATCTGCTCCATCTTGTAATTATAAGCTAATATAAACAGATTCCGTTGGAAACTGGACATTTCATTAACTCGACTCATGACATTTTTGTAGATTCGATCCATGATTTCCTAATTATAGAGATGGATTACACATAGCAGTTTAAGAGAGATAACAGTATGCAATCAATTTAATTCATTCCAGAAGACTATGGGAGCCTCATATTGTTTCAGATTCAATTAGGTCCGGGGTTCCTTCCAAGTTTCAATGTGTCTTAGAACATTTAAAAACATCAAGACAAAACTTTAGGTAAAAGGTAAGACCTTCAAAGCTAGAAACAAATCCAACATGTGCTTTGTTTAAGAGGCGGAAAGAATTAAGACAGGTAGTAGTGGTGGGTGGCACATTTCCATCATGGAGCACCAATGCAGCCCTTCTTTCCTATCATTCTTCTAGCTTTCAGGTTTAAATATAAAGCAGCAGTTAGGAAAAGCAGCCACCACGGCTTCCTCAGATCGCAGCAGAAATGTGCCAAAGGCACCCACACCACTACTGTGTCCAGCTGTACATATAGCCTTATATTTTTTTTTCCTTTGGGCAGAAGCCAGAGAAAAAAGGCAGACAAGAAACAGAGATGTGTGCAAGTAACCTAGTGTTAAAAAGGCAACTCTAATGGTCCTCTTGCACTCTCTTTCTCTCATCACTTTTTGTTGTTGTTTAGTCGTTAAGCCGTGTCCGACTCTTTGTGATCCCAGAGCACGTCAGGTCGTCCTGTCTTCCAATGTCTCCCGGAGTTGGGTCAAATTCATGTTGGTCGCTTCAATGACACTGTCCAACCATCTCATCCTCTGTTGTCTCCTTCTTATATTTTTCTTCCTTTGGGCAGAAGCCAGAGCAAAAAGGCAGACAAGAAACAGAGATGTGTGCAAGTAACCTAGTGTTAAAAGGCAACTCTAATAGTCCTCTTGCACTCTCTTTCTCTCATCACTTTTTTGTTGTTGTTTAGTCGTTAAGCCGTGTCCGACTCTTTGTGACCCCAGAGCACGTCAGGTCCTCCTGTCTTCCAGTGCCTCCTGGAGTTGGGTCAAATTCATGTTGGTCGCTTCAATGGCACTGTCCAACCATCTCATCCTCTGTCATCTCCTTCTCATCTTGCCTTCACACTTTCCCAACATCAGGGTCTTTTCCATCACTTTTTACTACTGGCTTATTACTACTCTATTTAGCAATGGGTACTGTACTGAATGATGAACATACTGAGCTATATTGAGTTGTTTACACAGTGGGTACAGCTTGTACCCTTTTTAAGAGTGGGCCAGGGAGCCAGTGCGAGGAGAATGGGATGTGCTATGTAGTTTGCCACTTGTATATTGGAGAAAACTGTTATTTACTTTGAATAATAAATTACATGGATGTCTTAAGGTATAACAAATATCCACCACCCGATCTAAATATTCAGAATGTTAATATTACAATTCTATTTTTATGAAGTGTTTATGCCCAAAAGATATATTCTTCTTCAAGAATTAAAGTTGCCAAGGTTTAAATTTCCTTCTTGCTTTCTTTGTAAACTATTATAACATTGACGATATATTAATATGAAGCATGATTTGTGACACAAACATTGTTAGCATTTGACACCATCTACATTGCTTTATATTTATCAATATTCAGACCACTTTTTCAGCAAATAATAGGAAGGAAGAGGAAGGAAAATCTCCTTCTACGAGTGATTCAGACCACTTTTTTAGCAACTAAGAGGAAGGAAGAGGAAGGAAAATCTCCTTCTATGAGTGTCTTTCTGCTTATCACTCTCAGGATTTAATTCATAGCATAAGCTTCTCCCTTCGACAACACTGGGGTTAGGGGTACTAGACCCCCATGTAGTTAAAAATCTGCATATAACTCTTATGCCCCCAAAACTTAATGACAAAGTACAGATGCAACTAAAGGACAGAAAAAGTATCAGAGGGAAAAACAAAGCAGCACAGTATTTATTGAATATTCATTTATTGAATAGTTATTTATTTGCTTATTAATACTTTTTTTAAAAAATCCATGCATATCCAAAACTGCTGAACACACCCATGCAAGGGAGAATTGTACTATGAATACTATACTGTATTTTAGAGACTATACTAAAAATTATCTGATACACTGAGCTAATTTATCATTAAAACTCAAATTATTCATTCAATGTTGCAGATTTTTTAATTAAAATTCTTGGAGAAGGGGGAATTTAATGGAATACAAATAGAATTTTCTTCAAAATCCACAATGACGTAACTCACATATATGTTGAACGTCGACATGTTTTCCACATCATGCAATAGAGGAATGGAGCAATTATATGATAATTATGCTGAGATCATTATCTTCTTCTGTAACATCTAAAAATGCACAGTTAAAATACACAACTTACCGGCACAGCTGCCATTAGAGTTGGCTTCAGTTCAGAAACATCACCTCTACTTCCTTTTTTTATTTTAGAGGACTGTAACAGAAGTGAAGGCACCCACATGTAAGCTTCAGTTATCAATCAAAAATTTTCATTTGCTCAGAAATAAAAAGATACATTGACAAAAATGGCAAATTAAATTCCCAGCAACCTCTGTGGGATATGATTTGCTCTATAAATGCAATTTCAAATCAAGGGACAAAAAGGCCTTTTAAAACCCAGAAATGATCAACCAGTCTTGTTCCTGGCATATTCTGGCCTAAAAAAGGTAGAATAGTATTTACAGGGCCATGAATAATGGGGAAGGGGTCCAAGCGAGGCCTTTGAATAGCCATGGCAGAGCCAGAGAAAAATGTCCTCTGAATCCTAAAAAAAGCTCACAGTTGACCCATATTTTGCCAGAAATATTGATGTTACAATAGACATGCATATTCAGTTCTATATTTAGATATACACTGTAGAATGTACCACTAACTGCTCTGTTCCAAGGTAAAGAAAGGAGACCACTTACTTGATCACTTAGAGTTTGAGGTGAGGAGTAGCCAATACGGCATCCATGGGCCAAACAAACAAGTTCAGCACTTAATTCCAGGACATGAGCAAGTGGCAAGTAGCCAATGTAAATATCCTTCTCTCTGAAAAGGGATTAGACTCTGTGTCAACTTGTGCCACCCCACTACAAGTTTGTGATGTCAGTTGTCCTACCTCAACACCATAAAGCTAGCATATTATAGTTCGCAAAAGAGGATCAGTCGGGACTATAATGCTTATTTCCTGCTACTGTGATAAACAAAACCAATGTCAGCCTTGGGAAAGGGCTCGCTCCCCCACTGTCTTCCTCCCCATACAACAAACTGCCCACACAACACAAACACACCTGTAAATACAGTTAAGCAGTCTTTGGCAAGCTAAACTAGAATTATGACTAGTATATCACCATACTTTGCCTGCATAAATTTGTATGATTTCAAGTTCCTGGCTATTCTCATTCTAGAATACTAATTAAGCCAAAGAAACAAAAGAGGGAAACAGAAACTATAACTTAAATGTACATTTGCCAAGCTTACAAAGTACTTGTAAAAATTATCCATGCTGTATAAACCTAAAAAATACAGCATGCCAGTGACATATGTGAACATTTTAGTTGCACACAAAGACAATTATTTAAGCAGCTTATTTCTTTCTGTTCCATAAAATCCTGAATAAAGGCAGCATTATACTTGCCCACATACATTAGATATCTGTAGATATTAGATATTTCAGTGACTGTAGAATTGTAAAGAAATGTAAGTGCTCTTTATAACTATATGCTATACCTACCCCAAATTGGGAATCCTTTCAGCCATCCCAGTTATACCAGAAATAAGATTGCAATGAGAGATCATAACGCCCTTTGGAACTCCTGTAGAACCACTTGTATACATAATTACTGCTATGTCTGAGGGTACTGGTTTCAACTTCTGTTTGCTGAGTGATACTAAAAAATTAACCAAAAAAAGCATAAAGGAAATTAAAATGAAAATCAAGAAGATTTATTCTGCCATTTTCCAAGAACAGCAAATTCTAATTCCTGAAACACCCTAATCCTAATGAAATGATAATGTATTCCCACTGACACTTGGACATATCTCTGAAAAGCTCCTCATGGGGTCCTACATGCAATATTCCTGTCTCCCAAGTTGCATTTACTTAAATCTGCCCAGCCAGATAATCATACACTTACAACACCTAGCAACAGACAAACTATTATAGCACACATAAGGGTAATTAAGAATGGTCAGCACAATCTTTTGCTATGATCAGTCTAACCTTTTCAGGCTGTACCATGAATATTATTTATCTTATCATCTATGGCAAGATAGAACAATATCTTACACTAACTGGATGCATGCTGGATGTCCAAAGGCAAAAAGGGAAATTGATAAAGCTTTTATGCTACAGAGTATTATTGCCTGCCTGACTCTCCTAAGTTTTCGCACTAAATAAACACATTTCTACAGAGCTTCTATCCACCTGCTGCTAAAGAAAACTATTTTATAGAAACCAGCCACAGTGAACTCTAAAAATAAATGGACAGAATTCAACTGGAAATCTATACTTGCCTAAGTACAATGACATACATCATACCAGTTAGCAGCAAACTGCCATTAATTAACAGGATGGTGGTTGCATTCTTGGGCAGTGCCCAGGAACATACAACACTTCATTAATTAGTGACAATTTGTTACTATAAGTTGCCCCATTTCACTTATACCAACACAAATTGCCAGTTAGATTCTGGCCTACATATTCATGAAGTCTCAGTATCATATGTATGCTAGAAAATGACGATAGCTGGAACAGAATATTCTTAGCATATGCCTCTAAGCAGAATACAATCTCAAAACAGAGAACCTTTACACATGATCATGATTTTGACTTTCTCCACTTTTATTTTTTTTCTAGAACATTTTCAATGTCATACCCCTCCCCGCACCTTCCAAATGATTACATGTATAGCTACACATACTATTTTCTGCTTTCTCGCCCATAGCTTGAACTGATGTCATTGTATGAACAATTACACCTTTGGGGAATTCTGACCATGATACTGGTTTGCCATCCACAGTAATAATATGGCGCAGCAATGGAACCTGAGAAGCAATGCTCTGTGGAAAGAATACACAAACCAAGTATTTAATGTATCATTTCAAGCAAAAGTAATACAGGACATTTTTTAAAAGAATAAAAGAGTGATTGATCAGGAGTTGGAGGCAAAAGAAAGCAATATGATTATGAGTGACTATGGGAACAAGGACAAAAGGGCTGAGGGAGTGAGACAGGCTTACTGTAGGGTGAAAAAATATAAATGGGTGAGCATGGCAGTAAGGCATTTCAGCCAAGAAATAAGACCTGGGAACTCTGGACTTATATATTTCACTAAAGGTTTTTACTGCATAAGGCTAATTAGAAAGGTTTTGTTTGTTTGTTTCCTATCCTGCCTTTCTCCTTGTAGATCAAAAATAATAAGACTGGGGGATGCAAGTTTAAATGCCATCTAATTCCTTTGCAAATATTTATGTTTTTCTTTTTCATCATCATTTAAGATATTCACAAGGTTTAAGACACATATTATGCTTATTTTACTCCCAATTCCTTCCCATTTAAAAAACATCCTATTGCACCAAATTCTTCCTGATGCAACCTATCCCAACATTTACTATGGTTTTGAAATGTTTCAGTGTCCTGACAACAAGCAGCTTCACAATACTCTTACAGGGGGCTGAGGAAGGTAGTCGTTATCCACATTGAAGTAACCATTGCTCATAGGAGAACAGAAAGAATATCAATACTTCTGTAATTGACTTGAGGCCTCCTACCATCACTGCAAACCATCTCTAAATATTCTGTCCCTCAGGTGCTCTTCACTTCATCTACTGTCTTTGGCAATGATACAAAATAACCAAGTAGTTTTTTCCAGCTACTGCTAATCACCATTCTTTTTTGCACATTTTCTTATGCGCCACTGAGAAGGCCGATTTCCCTACATGTCTTTGATGTGTCAGAAGTCAGACTGTATAAGCAAAACTCAGCTCTAACTCTCCACAATCTCTCTTGAGGTGAGGCACATGTGGGCCTCTACACACTGTTGGATTGGAGGTCCCATCAGTCCTAGCAAGCACAACCAACAATGAGGGATAATGGAAACTGGAGTCCAATATATCTGGGGGGATACATATTTCCATCCTCCTTTAGAAAGTTCTCCACCATAAAAATCATGAATTCGAATCCATCCTGCTACATAAAAAATAAAATGTGTTCCATTTTTATGGTGTTAACTGTAGACACTACACTTTGTAGAATTTTTCCATGTATGTAATTTTAAAAGAGACCTCAAGATGTGAAACTGCACATTTATGCTGCCTGTGATCGTGACCTATACTACTACAGCTTCTTTTCTTGCCCTCTTTCCTTTCCCTATCTCTTTTTCCTGTTCTTCTCATTAACAGCATTCAGTGTTTTGGCCTCACTTCCTTTCATTAGCTCCCTGTTTCTGCTGCTCTTTGTCTCAAGAATCTAAGTTTCCTCCATGCATCCTTTGTTCTCATCCTTAGTGCACATTGCCTGCTCTGTCTCTTTTCTCTGCTCTCTAGCCATTCTGCTTTTTTTTGTTTTTGATTCAACAACCTTTGCTCTTCATTTTCTCCTGAGATCTCTTCCCACTGAACCGTCTAGACAGTCTTCTTGCTTTGTTCTGCATCTAGGGACTTTGGACATCTTTCGTGTCCAGGAACTAATTGTTCAGCTTCAGCCCATGGAAGTGCTAGTCTGAAAACGTTCTGTTGCTGAGAACTTTTGCTAGTAGGCAGAACGTTTGCCAACATTCTGCTATATCTTATCAATTTTGCTAATACGTGACAGTGGCCTCATTGGCATTGCAAAATCTCTCAGTGAATTATAACAAAAATTATACTTAAGAGACATATGGTCCCTAAAGTGCTGTTAAAATTATGCTATGAGGGTGTTTTTGAATTTGAAACTGGCATTCAAATGGAATATTCACCAATCCTTTTAAGGGAAGAAACTTCAGATTTAGAGTGGCTTAACCAAATGTTGTTCAAGTAGCAGCAAAGACATTACAACCCATCTTGCTACTTTTCTAGCTCATCCATTCATTCCAGTTAGAGGTGTGCATGTTGTATAAATGATTAATGGACATATATAATACTTCACAATAGTACCAGAATAATCTCTGCCATAAACATACAAAAAGTTATGTGTAAGCTGTATGAAATAGATATATAGAATGAAAGGAGGACGTTTAGGTACAGCACTGTCCCTATTCAAAGAATTAGCTCAATGTATGAATAAAGAATGAGAAACGACATTTGCCACGTAAGTTTTACATACCTAGTGTCTTCCAATGGTTGAAATCTTTTGCTTTTAACTTACTCTGTGTGAGGCTGACAGTGAGGCCTTCCATTGAAGGCTATGGGCAATAATTTAGGGATGGGGGAGTCTGCCAGGATGTCACCAGTGGTAGTGAATTGCAGAAATGATATACTCCCTCACACACATACATAACAGCTTCCCCATGAAAAAATGGATCCTAAGGGAGCCCAGGAACCTTCAGAGGGAACTGGAAGTTTTGAATTTCTAAAGAATTCCCCTAGCTGATGAAGTCATCAACCTTAAGTGGTGTTACGTTATGCTCCTGGATTTCAGCCAATGTGTCAGGGCACCATTTATGTCCATCTGTCCGTCCTTCCATCCTTTCTTCCCTCCTTCTCACCCATCTAACTAAAGGCCACTCTGGGTGGTTTACAACAAAACGCTACATAGAGGAGACTCAATTCCTCTGGGCAAGATATTGGTACATGCAAGCCAACCATACTTTGTATTGTTGTATTCTTATATTGTGTAGGCATCCTTCAGTCTCGAAAGACTATGGTAGCGTGCTCCGTATGGAGGACTTGGAACAGCGTCTAGTGTGGCTGAGGAGGCCAATTCGAGAGTTACAATCTCTTCCACACTGAAGACAAATCCAATCTGTCCCCTGTCCAGCTCCCTGGTTTTGCTTCCTTTGTGACTTCCTCTTTGCCTCGGCCTGCTGGACAAGGGTCTCTTCAAATTGGGAGAGGCCGTGATGTACCGCCTGCCTCCAGGCTGAACGATCAGATGTCAGAGTTTCCCATCTGTTGAGGTCTATTCCTAAGGCCTTCAGATCCCGCTTGCAGATATCCTTGTATCGCAGTTGTGGTCTCCCTCTGGGGCGATTTCCCTGCACTAATTCTCCATATAGGAGATCCTTTGGAATCTCCTAATTCTTATATTATAATGTAACTAAATCTGTGAGGAATGGATGTTGAGAGGCCAAAACGGGAATCTAAACAACATAGTGTATCCAAACTACATTTTCATCTTCAATATCACTAAACACACATGAACCACATGCACACAACTTATACACACCAAATTTATCTATACATGATTGTGTCTTACCTTCAATTTTGTCTGCATCAGTTCTTTGCTAGTAATAATAGTTGTCACCTCAGTTTCATTTAATCCATGTACTATTGCTGGGCCTCCTAGAGTGGCATAAAGTGTAACAACTGGGGGGAAATAATGAATTTTTGATTATATAGTGCTGCTTCAAATTCTGTATTTAGAACATTGAAAAATATAAAATACAGAGTGGTTTCAAAATGCATATCAGTACCCATGTTCTTGGAAGAACTGCAATTCTGCTTCTCATACTCCAGCAGAAGAATCCCTATTTTTCCACATAGAAGTAAGTAACAACTTTAAAATTGGGCTACTCCAGCCTAATTTTAGGTTGCATGAGATCAGAACACAAAATTATTTATCCAAATAAACATGATTAAGACTGAAAGCCTTGAATTTTAAGGACATGTGATCTGGCAAGAGTGACTTCATAGTTGCAAAAGGAAGTATCCAACATCAGTGGAACACTGCCACCTGATAACTTATCTGAGGACTTTGATTTTAGCATTAAAATGTTCCTTTTTTGGATGAAAACTCTCAGAATTCCCCAGCCAGCCTGGCCATCTTGCCTCTGAATTTCAGCAATTTTGTTTTGTGCAACACCTGTCTAAGCACTAATAAAACTGATAGAGTAAGCTTGTGTTTGGGAAAAAAAATCCATGTACATAGTGACAAATGCAACTCACCACTATGAATGAGGATTCTGGGATCTACTTGTAAATTTTTATTGGCCTATGGCAGGGAAGGCAAATTTCTAGACAGGGCCGCAGGGGATCTGGAAGATGCCTCTCTCTGAATTTCCTATGCCAGCCAGTATCTTAGCTCCCAAATGGCTCTATCCATAATATTCTTTTTAATAAAAAAAAAGGACAATTTTATGAGCATAGGATTGAAATGCAAAGCTGGCTTCAAGTGAACATGACTTGAAGAACCAATTTTCATTCCCTTACTGTATTAGGCCAACTGCCACTAATGCATATTTACCCTTGACAAGAAGTGGGAATATGGTGGACCCTCAGATGATAGAGGTTGGTCTATGAGGGCAGGTGCGGGCTCTGTTCTGCAGGCTATTTTCAGTCTGCCTACTCCTGCTTACCTCCTTAGTCACGAGGGTCAGGGCCTCACCTGTGTTCCTTCCTTGGCTCATGTGCCTTCCCCCTCCAGCAGTGACAAAGGAAACTACTGCTTTCAGAAACTGTTCAACTATACCTCTCATGATCCTTGACTATAAGCCATGTTGTCTGGGACTGATGTGAATTGGAGTCTAGCAACATCTGGAAAGCCACAGGTTCTTAAGACTATGTAGGCATGAAATGCTATACATATTTTGTAACCTCAACAGAGAGTACCAGATGGCTTCCTCCTGATACGCCCAGCCTAACTTCTACAACAGTCAAGCTGTAATGTGCATACTGATCATGCAAAAATTATCTGAAAAAAATCTTCTGCGTAATGATTTATAAAAATAGTAATCTTAGAACTAGAGCAGGAAGGGACTCTATGGATCATTGAGTCCAGCCCCTGTCAAGGAGGCTCAGTGGGGAATTGAACTCCCAACCTCTGGCTCCATAGCCAGATACTTAAACCACTGAGCTATCCAGCAGTTCTTTACCCTCTCTGCAGCTGTAGACTAAAATGTCAGCAGTGTCAGCATTCTGGCAGCAGGCATGGAGAATTTCCATGCCAGTGTCAGTCATTTCCCAGAACCCATGGTGGCAGCTTGGGAATTCTTTGTGCCAAAAAGACAAACTGGGCTTGTCAGGAAGAAGCCATCACGAAGAGGCAATTTCCAATACTTTGCATTTGAAATTACATAATATGCAACAGTTCTTACTTGTAAATCATTATGTTTCAAAGCAGAATTTACAGGGTTTCTTAGCAATTCACCCAAACAGTATGGAAATAATAAAAAAATCTTTCTTAAAGGTGTGTCCAGATCTCTGTTTCAAACAAACCACTTTTACTGAATTGTGGGTGCTGAAGTATTTCTTCTGCACCACTGGCAACTAACAGCAAAGCTTGGAGAAGTTACTTTGTTGAACTGCAGCTTCCAGGAGTTCCTAGACATTATGTTCAGTGACCATACTGACTGAGATTCTGGGAGTTGTGGTCCAATAAAGTAACTTTTCCAAGCTCAGCATATATTCAGATATTAGACCCTGTAAACAATAAGGGTACGCCCTCTTGGTTGTTCTGGGTTTTTCGGGCTCTTTGGCCGTGTTCAGAACACGGACAAAGAGCCCGAAAAACCCAGAACAACCATTAGATCCCGGCCGGGAAAGCCTTCGTTAATGTATGCCCTCCTATTCATGCATATAATTAGATTATTAAAAGAAATGTTCCTTGAAGTCATTCAACACATCTTCAAAATTACATTGTTTAACTCAAAATCCGAACTATTGAAACTGTGGAGGAAGGGTGCTGTTTATTATGAAACACAATTCCAAATTGTTGTAAAGCAAATACGTATGTACATTGTTCTCTTTAATTTAGTGGGAGCGAAGTATAAAAGATTGCCTTCATTTGTTCCCATGTGCTCTCCATCCTTAGTCCAATGACCCCAATTATATAAACAAGAGATTTTCCTATCCAGCTCTCAGCAAACTGTGGAAGAAAAAAGTATAATCTCTTGAACAATAATTGCTATTATTCACCTACAGAGAATGTGTATGCGTGCATGGAGGGATGGGGTGGATGGGATAATGAATGAAGCAAAAAAAAAAATACAGCAGTTAATGATATTAACGACATCAAGTAGCTTGCTGGCTTCATAAATGGCACACTGACGCCATGGGACAAGGGAGGAAGTGAGCTACAGCAGCTGTAAACTAGTATCACACAGCCTGATTGGCTCAGGTGTGTCTTAAACTATGCATAGCACATTCTGATGAAATCTAATGAAAATGTGGAATATGCTACAAATAACATTATAAGTAAAAAACAGTAGGTGTATATTTATTGCTTCCTAGCACGGAAGAAAAAATATAGAAAAATCTTCCAAAAAGCATTCCTACTGGGAAGCGAAATTTAAACAACATATACTTTATAATTTCACATATAACAGAGAGAAAGGACAAAGTACTGATCAAGGTGTGTGGGGCAACATTAAAACAGAGATGTCACATTGTCATTTCTACTTCCTATGGAAAGCAACCATTCGCTGTAAAATAAAAATGTGGCTGACCACTATCTATAAAATAAATGAGAAAAGAAGTGCATATGAGTCCTGATGGTGCAAGGTAGAAGGCAAATAGTCCCCATAGTGGAGTTACGATTCTTTCTAAGAATGCCGATGTCACAGGAATGATGATGTCTAAGGGAATATTGATTTTGAGGAGGAAGTTGGTCCCAAAAAGAATTCTGACTCCAACCAGTGACCACGAGTACTGATATCAAGCAGATTTCCCTCCAGGATGGTTCCCATCCATAATGTAGGGAACTGTAGGATGAACCAGAACAAGAATATTGGCCTCCCCCCACCCAATGTGCCAAAGAAAAATTCTCTCGAGGTCATGCCCTGGAAGAGCACATTTGGCTTTTTTGATCAGCTGTAGACACACCACTCCATATGGGGTTTCCTTCTTGGATTTCTCCTTCCGAACAGGAATCCCACATGTAAAATGCCCTCTGAAATCTGTTATTCCTGAGATGGCAATTCTGACACTCCAGACAAGGATGAACAGAAATTGGTAAAGGAGATGGCTGGTGTCAGAGTAGCAGACATCAGTAATAAAGTAGAAGATTAGACTGAAAAACTAAATGTCAAAGTTGTAAAGATGGCAAAGCTTATAGCAGAGGTGACGGCATGCTTATCACACCTTTTCACTTTCTTTGAAACTTTCTGATCTTTGCATTCACTGTCTTCCACTGTTTATTCTGTGAGAGTTAAATTCCCACCAAAGATCTCTACTACAAAACCACAATGTCAATGGCAGTATACAAACACCAATATCAAGGATATTGATACAGAGCAGTGAGGTGCCGGAGCTAAAGGAACAGATGCTGACTTAAGAGGGGATGTACTAGAGAGCTTTAGAGAATGAAATAATTTTACATATATTAGTGAGTCCCACAGATAAAAATTTGTTAGAAGCAGTCTGATCCACCGTTTTAACTGTTTCTGTTTTTTAAAAAGTTTCAAACAGGAGTCTCTATTTTAAGTCCCAGTCAAGAGCATCAAGGGGTCGAGAAAAATGAACTCTCCCAAACAAAAAATGCACTTGGGGTGTCTGTCCAACAGGGCTATCTGCCCCACTGCACTTGATACTCTTTTTAAAAGAAGAGAAACAGCTGAAGAAAAGAGAAATAAAACACCAATACTCACACACTTTTTTCAAAGGCAGAACATGAGGGAAATTGCAAAAAAACTACATACAAAAGCTGATCAAGAAAGGAGAGGACAGGAATGTTTCTCAGACAGTGTTATTTATGTGGTAGGAAAAGGGGTACTCAGAAGAGGTGTGCAGAAACATGTGCAATGTAAGGGAAGTGAGTTTTTTGCAAAGGCTACTCAGATCTGGAATGTTCAGACCAGCCTATGCACAGATGCAACACCCACATGTGTTAGTCACAGAGATACAGCACTCCCATCATTTTTGACCTGCCGCATCTGATATCTGTATAGCCATCATAATGTCTAGTTTGTGGTAGTAGCAGAATAAGATAAATAGTGATTATTCACCCCTCTCCAAAACTACCACAAAAGTTGGATGAAAAACATTATTCAAAAACAGTAAAGTTAAAAATTAAATACTAGTTCTGTGACATTTCATACAGATAGAAAAAATAAACTACATAAGACCATGAATTAAGATTTATTTTTTCAGCATATTAAATTGAGGCCAAATGATAATGAACTGGAGAGCACCATCTCTTGTTACAAAACTAAACAAAATTTAACTCATCACGTTTCACTGACTATAGCACAACTTTGAGAAATGACTACGTGAAAAGGAAGAACAGTATTATCATCTGCCAGCAATAAGTCAGCCAAGTTCATTCATTTGAGATCATCAAATGCTGTGTCATGCTGTGAACTGAAGCACGTCTCAGGACTTGAAATGTCCAGTTAAAAATCTCCCAGTTTCCCCTCCTCTCTCCACTGCAACACAAATACAAATTCCTCTATACCAGATGTTTCAGCATGTCACTGCATTTTCATTTTAAATTTGAGATCCTCTTTTCGGACAGGTTACATTTACAAAGGTCTGAGAGAGAGAAACCCACCAAATTTTCTTAAAATAAACAATAGGCTTTTTGATCATTTCTAAATCATGCTGGGCTCTCAATCAACTTTCATTTATTTTTAGCGTGGCAAACAACAAAGGAACTATTCTATACTCTGCAAGCTGGTGCATTTTAGTCCTCTGCAAAAGTGATTTCTACAATGTCCCACAAAGGAGAATACTAGGCTGAGCTAACTACTATTCATTTGCTGTCCCATTCACTCCTGAAAAATCTACATGAGATTTTTTTTCTTCCACCAAATCATTTTAAAACATTATTGAGAGACATGTTAAGTAGGAATGAGGTTGTAGTGTAGTAAGACAGCAGAGGTGACATATAGACTGCATATGTATATCTGTGTGCGCATGTGTGTGTATGTGCACATATAGTTGTATATATTTATATGTGTGCATGTGTGTATACAAATATGCATGCATGCACGGACACACACCATATTTTTGCATCCCATTCTAAGTTGCCTTAATCATTCATCCAACAGAAGGGATAAATTTATCAACTACCAGTGTAGTTACGTAAGCTTTCACTCTTAACACTTTGTCTAAGGGAAGAATGCACTTGTATATTACAAGAAGGGGAAACAGGTTTTGTGGCTGCAATCTTACTTCACACCAATGAAAAGTAAGGTGCATTTGTTTTTGTACAGCAATCAATAAACCAGAGCAGAAAAGCTAAGGATTAATGCTCCCCCTCACTCAAGTGGTGAATGCCATCAAAAACTGAACCAAACTGGGGCCACTGTAGAAGATCAATGTTTGCGAGAACCCTAATATGTAAACAATTATTAAAATGGTTGGTGTGGGTTTTTCAGGCTCTTTGGCCGTGTTCTGAAGGTTGTTCTTCCTAACGTTTCCCCAGTCTCTGTGGCCGGCATCTTCAGAGGACAGGAGTAGCACTCTATGCTCTGGTACAG